GAGAAAAAGAAAAGAAAAGAAAAAGAAAGGAAAAGAAAGATTATAAAGTACTGGCTTCCAATCTTCTTGACAGCAGTTATAAATACATTTATATTTTGCCCTTTCTAAAGTTACATCATAATTTCATTCTTTCCATAAGCTACCTTTTCTGATCTTCAAATCCATAAATCGCAAGTCCATTTTTTTCTTTTTTCAGCAAAAAAATCCATAAGGGGTTTCCAGTCACTGATAAATGTATTTGTTGATCTTTCTAATCAAACAAGTTAATTTTGCCATCTCTGCTAGTTCTGTCATCTTCATTTATGCATATTAATAATCCATATTTTAGCACTTTACTAAGGTTCAATGAATTGGCTGGGAGAATGAATGGATCCTTCTTTATCAATATTGTATTATATTGTAGTATTATACAAATACTACAGCAACTGTTTTTCATTTAAATGTTACCACGATAGGAAATTGATCCATCTCTTTCAGGGTGTCTTATTTTACCTTGAAGAGGGCAGTACTTAGAAAACAAATTTTTCAATGAGAAAGCAATTTCCATATAGAAAATTAGCAGGTAGCAATTTTGCTCTTTGTGGGAGAACAGTCTGATCTGAAAAATGCTGCATCTCATCGTGAGATACAGCCAGTCTTCTGCAAGGTGTTAGCTTTCATCATTCCTATGACAGTTGTGTTACTAAATCACAGTTGATTCAGGAAACAGTTGATTCAGGAAACAAGCCATTGCTTCTCCTAGTTTTTTTCCTTTGGGTCCTTTTCTCCATTTCTTTCACTGAGGATGAGAAATAGACAAGAAAGCAGATAGAGAGGAATTGCCTCACTTCCCAATATAAAGATAAATGGCCAATTTCTAGGTTACAATCTGGCAACCCTACAAAAGGACAAATTTTGGCTAAGTTATGTCGATTATGAAAAAGGCAGAGCATTTCATGACGGGAATCCTGCAATAATGCTGTTAAAAGCTTACATTTGTAAGCTGTGCTAGGATTCATTTGGAGTAATACAACCTAGCTATTCACCAAGGCATTCAGCATCCAATGTCAATCTCCACCCTAACTGAATTTATTGCAGATCCAGGATTCTGAGCAGCTACAATATCTAAGGTATTGCTAGTAATCACGGAAGTTCCCATTCAGTTGTTTTCTTTTTTTCTTGATGGACGACCCAATGCTTTGTAGTCCAATGATTTCTTTATTCATTAAGCTTATTTCCTTTGGAGGAAATAGGAATAAGTATCACCTGGCTTAGCTGGCCAATTATAGGAAAGGCTGCTGCTCGTTTGTAGCCCCCAGGGTGAAACTGTAGGATAGAGGAAATCATTTTAAACCGATAACTCAATAAAGCACAATCACTATGGTAATTGGAACACGGTCCCTTTTGTAGCTACTTTCATCACAGTTCTAAACAAAGTTTTTTTTTTTTTTTTAGTGCTTTATTACATTGGGGAGAATGAGGTATAATATATAAAATTAGTTCTTGGATTCGAAGGGATGACATACCATTAGGACAAATAGGCCAAGGAAACAGCAACTCAGAGAGATGCTTGAGATATTTAATGCATATGAATTCAGATGTGAATGAACTTGATTTGCACTTACTGGATCCATAAACGAATTGGAACTTAGTTTGCCCCTGGCTTTTACATTTCTTCAATGCAGTTCTCAGCTAAAAATGAGTGTATATAAATCTAAAATGTTACATTGATAGAAAGGCTTCAGAAATGCTCTCTTTCGTGTGGAATACCATTCCTAATTTTGGTGGAGCAAATTAATAAGAAACAGAATAGGAAAGAATTGTGGATCAATGTGCATAAAAGTGATACAAATCCAAATCAACGGATTAATCTATTTCTACCATATATGGCTTTCCCTTCTGAACCAGGAGCATGAGTATCAATGCATGTTCCTGGTAGAATGTCAGCATTTGTGAAGATTGTGGTAGTACAGTGTTTAAGATATTCCAGCCAGATAATCTGAGAATTGGGCCATAAATGTATATACAGTTTAGTCTGGTTCTTTAAGCCCACCCACATCCAAAATCAAACCTTTGTGTTCATTCTTTCGCATTTCTAAAATTAAGTCCTCTCCTAAGTGTTGCAACTGAAGCAAAGAAATGAACAGTGAAGAGGACTGACCAAATATTCACTGCATGCTACAATAGAGTTTCTAAAAAGAATCCACATGTGACATGGAAATACTGGAGTCAAAGCTGCAAGGATAAGACTCATGAGAGAGACCTGCCTCCTGAATGTGAACTGGGTCTTAACATGGATCCTACATGAAGACCTTCTAACTTGGATCATGCCAGTGAAGTTCATATGAGTTTACATGTGTGTATGATGGTTTATATAGAAGGATCTTGAACAACATAGTACTTTTCAGATGAGCTGGACTTCAACTCCCATAATTGCATTGACTTGGCCATGTGTATGCCAGAGGCATAGGCAAATAAGCCTGAGGCTTATTTTGTTCCTTGTTATCCTCACTTCCTGACATCTGCTTTAGTGTATGAATCAAGCCCGTCTTTTTACAGTGACTATGCCCTTCCATTATTGCTTTTTGGAAAAATAGAAGCCCTCCTCCATGACTTGAAATTTCCCTGACAGCTGTTCTAAGCACAAATATACAGGAGATAACCACAGTGGGCTGCTTTGTGCCAGAATGAGAAAAAAAAAATAAGAATGGAAGGGACAAGTTAATATTTACTTCTTTTTTTTTAACTACTCCATCAGAGACAAAACAGGAACACATTCAGAAACAAGGCTGAAAACATCTGTGCAGCAGGGCTGAATAAGATTTATCAAGGTTTTCCCATATTTATTTTGTATATATATATTTATTAGATTTATATTCTACTTTTCTTTGACAGGCTCAAGGTGGCCTATATAGCATTCCCACCTTCAGTTTTATCCACACAGTGACTATCCAGTATGAACTTTCACTCCTCCTGTAACTGCAGCATGAATACTGTGGCTTGTTTTACCTGCTGTATACAATCTTTACTTTAAAACCAATGCATTCACCCAGCTATGCAGGCACATACATGTTATTATGGGACTTGTAGTTTTTAACCAAGGCTAAATTCAAGTATAATCTACAAAAGCAGCGTCAGGGCCTGCTTCTCCTCCAATTGTAGCTCTATATTGCAACATGTGTTTATGTCATAAACACAAACTACAAAACACATTCTTTTAAATTTTACCAGCCTCCCCCACAATTATAACACATGATGCCTTTACACTCTTAGAACTAAACAGGTATCACATTACTTGCTTGGGAGCAAGAAGATTATATGGGAGCCCCCTTTGAGCTTCTAAACACTTGAAAGATCAGCACCTGTGTGATGATCTTGCCTTGATATGGATTATTCAGTTAGTACAAAGACTCTGCAGAGCCCATATAGAGAGGGATATGGTGTACTGAGTGTAGGAATTCTTCAATGAATCTGGGGCCAGTTGCATTTTCAAAGAGAGGGACCTGTAAAGTTGTGTATGCAACTGAATTGTCTTCTCCTTAGTCAGATCATGTCCAATATATTCTTAACACAACATATTAACTTCTCCCAGTTGTCTTTTAAAAGACAGTTCGATATAGTGGTTAGGGTGCTGGGCTAGAAGCCAGGAAAGTTCTAGGCCTCTCTCAGGCATGAAAGTCAGCTGGGTGTCTTTGGGCCAGTTCCTCTGTCAGCCACCCTATCTCACTGGGCTGTTGTGAGGAAAATAGGAAGCAGGAATATTATATATGTGTGCCACCTTGAGTTGACCAAAAATTTATCTGGCAGGCAACTACCAAGGAAGTAGTGAGGCAGCTGAAGCAAAGTCATGTCAATAGGGCTAAAAGTCCCTGTCTTGCTGCTAATTATGTGAAGGACTTCCTTAAATACCTGGAGATCAGACGGTGCAAGCTGGTAGGTCAGATTATGTCCCTGTGTTGGAAGTTCTTTATTCTTAGTGTAGGCCAATGATACTGAAAACATTTTACAGTGCAATTTGATATGATCCAAAAAAGACCAGGAAGAATGAAGAGACCCCAGAGAGCAAAAACTGAGGGTAGTTTGAAAATTTGCTTAATCAATTTAAAAGAAGCACAGGTCCTTGCTTAAGGTCACTGAACAGACAATTATCCATGGTCAGTTGATGCTGACAGCTCTCCTATATCACTGTATGAAAACCAAATGTCCCTTTCTGAAATGAGATATTTTTTCTTTGCAATAAATTTCTTCCTGTTTCTTACAGAAGCCATTGGGGATGGATAAGAAAAAAAGTTATATAGTTTTTGTTGACAGATCTTCTGTCCACCCACTACTAACATCTTCAAAAAACAATACAGTCCCAATTGAGATCTGATTTCTAGACAGGAAGTATAAACAATGACTTGAAAGGTATGTATGTAGACGCTGATTTACTGGTACCTCTTTAGAATCTGTCATGCATGCCACATTGACCTCACAAACTTAATTACTGTAAGCTAGAAGAGAAAGAACATATGCCTCCCAGCCCATTGACATGGACATCAAAGGCCATGTTAAGAAAGAATAAGCAAATCAACTGGAGAAAAGGGATCTCACACCTGGAGAGCAATATAGAGCTGGAATATATTGAAGCATAGGGTTCCTGGAGAGAAATTTTTTATTCTTCATCTTTGACTTTTTCATAGAGGAAAAAAAAAGCCCACTCAGTGGCACAGTATTTGCTTTGCACACATTATAAGCGTACAGGCACAAGATAGCAGGGCTAGGAAGGCGTAATCTGAGTAACGAAATGTGATTGGATGCTTTAAATTTTGCCCGTCACCAACTTTTTAAAATAATTGCATTTTACAAAACTTAGGAAGCATGAAACAACACTTAAGAAAGTATTTTCAGCATTTTATCCATCTCATTACAATAACAATCCCCAACATGATGGCCTCCAGACATGTAGTTATATGAAATGTAGTCCAGTGCATGTTAAAGTTGGGGAAGAGTGGTCTAGAACAAAGTAGCCCACCAAATAAAAGTGTGCCTAAATCTTCCTCAATTTAAATTTAAATGGTTTACAATTAAATATTAACAATTACTGTTTAACTGGCTTTAAAGAGAATACAACAATTACCCTATTCAAATATTTCAGGGATGGTCGCTAGTTACGATGTGTTTGTCTCTGCGTGAAATAGTTTGGAATAGACAATGCTGTGACTTTGCTGTGATCTCCCTTGTAGCATTCTTGAAAGTTTACTGACGCTACGAGCCACATTTCTTCCAGTACATTTTTTTTTCCTGTAGGGAAAGGAAGGAAAGCTGATTTCTTATCCTCTGGGCAGCTATTTTTGTTATTTTGTTCCTGCTTGATAATGCCAGGAATCAAAGTACTCATCTTGAGAACAGTGAGGCTTTTCATCATGGCCTTTTATCCTTGCATGGCAAGTCACCATGTCAGCTGAGAAATGAATTTCTAATAAACCCTGGCTTGGAATCAGTGACTTCCCTCAAAAAAGGCTTGCACAGTGCCCAGTTTTCTGTGGAGCGTATAACACTGAACAGTGTTTTCTATCTGAACATCTCTAACCTCAGTGAACCTTAAAGTGGAATGCTGACATGGAAGCTCAGTGGCCTTCAAAAATACTAACCCAGCCATGGGGATCCATTTTTTTCTATATACCTCAAAGTATAAGACAATTCTATTATTGCTACAAGCTGTGCGCAAACTGAAAATTCATGCATGCTTTAAAAGCCTCCCAGGGCCCCTCCCAAAATTGCCACCAAAGAAAGATTTTTAATGTGACAGTGGGGGAAAAAAAATGAATAGATGGAATAAGATAGGGTTGTGCAAATCCCATGGAAGAGGTGTTTGGGAATGTGTGGCCCCACCTTCATATCTTTAAAAGTAGCTGTGTCTTTTTTCAGGCTGGTGGACCTGCTTTGGAATCAGCTGCTGGCCACCTCGAAACAAAGCGACACTATGTGCACCTACGTGGAGCAGCCAGAGGAGACAAGAAAAATACACGACTGCTTTAATGATGTGAAAAGAGGTGCTTCATGTGGGCTGCTCTGCTTTCCAAGCATTTGTTTCAAAGGACTTGCACAGTCCAAAATAATCATATTAACTGTACCTGTTTAATTTAATTTGGGTTAAATATAAATGAAAATTAAATCACATCTGAAATTTAATATGGACCGAAATCCTTATACCATCTGCGTGGTATAACAATGGTATGCAACTAACATAACCGACGTGCCACTTTCACAAAATTTTCTGAAGATTTTTTAAAATTGTGAAACCAATGATTGCTTGAAGCCTTGTACAGTATACAGAGTTAGAAAACATGTGACTAAATAATTAAAAGAAGGGGAAGAGGGAATCATGACCTACAAGCTGAACTGAGCTGTACTGGGAAATTAGGTTTGCAAACTATGTTTCTTCAAATTGCTTTAAAACTGTACTTTAACCTGATAGAGCTTGCAAGCCAGAAGTGGGCAGCTAGGGCTTTCCATCTAATTTCAGGGGACCATCAGCTTAATTTCAGAAGCCATCTGCAGATTATTAATTTAGATTTCTGGTAAGAGCTATCCTGTCCATGCCATTCAAGCTCAGGGGTTTGCTTTCAGTATCAGATTATTTCCAAAGAATACAATTCTCAAGGGAAGAAAGCTTATGTATCCTTGCTGTGAGGCATGGTGGACTCAAATGCTGGATTTTGAGCAGGGAACTTTTCATGGTGTTTCCCTGCTCACTGGAGGGATTTTGCCCACGTTTTCTGCCCCATAAAGTACCTGTAGTCAATATTTACCAACACTTACTCCCTTCTTCTACCATAGGGTAAGGCAGGAAGCGGCTTCTATCATGGGGTGGTGGTGGTGGTGGTGGAAAGTAATACAACCAAGCAGTAATTCCCACACAATATTTAGCTACACAAATTAGCAAAGCAAACAAACAACCCCATCCTTTCAAATAAATAAATAAATAAACAATTGTTATCTAGCGCTTCAGATAAATATTTTCTTGGTCCTTATTATACTAGTTTTCAAAATGTGATAATGTACCTGCAGACTACAACTTGTACACCTTTTGCCTCCTAAAACTCATTCCTGAGTTGCATCTCAGGACCAGACCAATGGTTCTGTGACGCTGGCTCAGGAAATGGTGTTGAGATAGTAAATTCCATTGAAGTCAGTGGGGTTTGTTTCCAAATCATATTTTAAAGACCTTGGGGTTGCCGATAATTTTTATGTTTTTCCAGGAACATTATGTTTTAAAGAAACCAAACAATTAGATGTTCCTAGGACAGCTAAATAAAGTTCTCAAGCCCAATGATGCTTCTTTTTTAAGGTAAACATGAGTCAGGTTTCTGACCACTGGAAAAAAAGAGTGTAAAGTCATAGAGTTTTTTTTTCCTGGATTAAGCCTGGTTAATTATACCCACAGGATTTAGCAAGGAAAACTCTACAGATTATTTTTAAACTGAAGGTTCACCCCCTTATAATGGTAGATACAATGGTAGTTCTATTGTTCCTGTTATGAAACTACAACTGACATGCTACACAAATTGATCATTATGCTGTATTCAATAGATGCACTGTCAAAACTGAACAGCCAATTGGGAAAGTGAGTGAAATGGAAACAAAGAAACCTCAAAGGAAAAGCCAAGACATTGGACCTTTTGTCTTTTGTTCATAGATGGAAATCATCTGACTCCAACCAACTCTGATAAGCTTATTCTTAGATCTCCTTTTCCAATAGTTAGAGATAAACATATTGATGCAATGTTTTCCATTTCAAAGTTCATTCAGCAATATCACACATGGATCCATATAAATGAAATCACTGACACCAAAGCAAACATGTACAAGCTGCACCCAGAAAAGGATTAGCTCTCACTCAGGTATTTTGAAAGGGGGAAAAATGCAAGCTATATGTGCCATTACACTTAATAATTGAGATACTATGGTGGTATTTTGTATTGACAACTCATCTCTGAGCATGAAGATTCAAGGGTCAAACTTTTAGGTGTGCCTTTTCCTAGTGATGAAAAAATACTGGAATTGAATGGTATTTTGTAATCCTTGTTTATTACAGTGTTGAGTACAGGAAAGGAAGGAAGGAAGGAAGGAAGGAAGGAAGGAAGGAAGGAAGGAAGGAAGGAAGGAAGGAAGGAAGGACATCTTAAAAGCAACTACATACTTTCCTGCCAGCTTGCAAAATTCAGATTTCTTTTCCTTTGATCAAACATTTGCAAAAGTATTCCTTTCAGTGTTCACCAAAGGTTTGGGACACTTCCAGACACTGTACCAATGAATAGCCACAAGACTATTAAGCCTACATCAACAAATAAAAAAAATTATGGAGTATGATGGGTATGTATGTTCTATTACCCATTTATTTTTAATCTAACGTTTAAGTGGCACTAAAGCATTGTTTTGAGGAGTTATATAGAGTTCCATTACTAAAACTCATTTCTCTTTTTCTGTAAGGAAATCTCAAATATGCACTGCAAGAAAGGAATTCTAAGAATATTTCTGATCTATAAGAGTTCTTCAAGAAAGAGTAGGAAAAATGGCAAACAAGCAACAACAAAAACCTAAAACAGAACAGAACAGAATAGAATGACTCTCAGCTGGCTGGAAGCTGTTATATTTTGGCGAAGGAGGTGTTACAAAATACTGAATGAAAGGGTGTCCAAACTTCTGCACCTGCCATATTCACTGTTTTCTCGCTCTGAATCTGTAAATAATTACCAACTATGTATTTATATTTGGGGAACAATGTTGTATTTAACTTTGGACCTGTTAATTTCTGTTCACGTATGGATTCATTGAAACATACAATTAACTTAGGGTGCTTAACTGATTACACACAACTGTTTGGATAACAGTCAGGATGCTTTGTGATCCAAAGTCACCATCACAAAGAGGTATTTCTAAAAGAGCTCTCCCCACTGTGTAATTGCAGAGAAAGTCTTTTCATCTTCCAAGGCTCTACTAAACATTCATTTCTCTGTTAAATCCAGTACTCTTTGGAAGAACAAGCAAATGGAAATAACTAGGGCAATGGCGAAGAATTTGTGGCCTTCAGAATTTCTTGAAATATAACATTCAGCACGGTCAATGGTAAAAGCAGTTGAGAGCATTTGGAGAGGTGGGCATAATGTTCATCTCTGGATGGAGCACTATTTCACTCAAGAAACAGGAAAGAATCGCAAATCCTGTATAGGGCTGCACTGATGAATCAAATGTATGCCAAGGCCATCAGCAATACTCGGTCAGACTGGTCCGAAGGGGCGTGTTATTCTTTCATTTAAGCTAAAAGATTTAAGCCATGAAAAGAGATGGTTCAGAAATGTCTGATTAATACATCTGTAGTACACAAATAAATGTATCAAGCAAACTATTTGTCTCCATGGTTAAAAAGTGGCTCCCTCAAGCTTTTAATAAATATTTTGTCAGTAGGGAACCTGGGTGGAATTGCAAGAGTTACATGCTGGAGATTGCTATATACAATTCATTACAAAAAAAATCATATTCGTTACCCCTTCTTATATTTGATGAAAGAAAATAAACATCCACAACCAATAAAACCTTATAATATTTTATTTGTAGAAACTAGCAAGTTTTGTTTGGCCTTTTCACTTTTAACAAGATGGCAAACCTTAAAAAAACTCAAATTCAAAGAAGTTCATTTCTGGGTTTCATTAAAACCTGGCCTCTCTGCTATGGTATCAGAAGGGCAGACCAAGAAAATGAAGGTTCCTCAGCAGACTTCTACTTTTGATTAATCCAAAATACTATAAAAGGTCCTCCGTCTTATAGAACTACATTTTTTTTCCAGTTGGCTTAACACCTGGAAGCAAGATGCAGATGAAATTAAAGAAAAACAAATCAAACTGAAATGAACGTTTTTGAACTCTAAAGTAAAGACTTGGTTGGTTCACTCAGAGTTCAGCTTAATTTCTTCACAGGGAGAGCTGTAAAATAATCCTGTACACAAAGCAGTAGAAGTCTGTTGATTTCTCCACAGAAATATGAAGC